TGTGACAACAGGAATGCTACGCCTGTCTGCGCCTTTTTTTGGACAAGTTGCGCGAAGCGAAGGCCGGGCAAGCGCATGACGGGCAGGTTTTGCCGCACTCCGCTACCAGTGGCCCGAAAGGTCGAAAAATAACTGATCTTGCAACATGTTTTTGGGGCGGATTCATTTTTTAGTCGGGAACCCACCAAACAAAGAGGGAAGCTGCGTGCTGAGCAGCAGGGGCTCGGCTTTCCACACTCATGTCGAAGCCAATGCGCTGCCCCGTTAGACGGAAACGCCCCTAGAGCCGTCTCTTTAGCTGACGAAGTTGCACCTACATGAGCTCGCCATGATCATGGCGACTGAGACGAGCGAAACAAGCGGCGTGTGATGATCTGATTCCGAGGTGAAGCCCCCTTGTGCAAGCATGACGTCAAGGAGCGCTTCTGAACCTGTCGCCGCGAGGCTCAGGTCAGAACTGGCAGCTTGCAGCTTGCACTACGCATGGCGGAAGCACATGAGGCGCAAAAGCAACCGCACTCAACCAACTTCTGCCTTCGGCCGGCAACAATGCACAGACCGCATCATCGCTTGCAGCTTCACGCCAGATGCAAGGACGTTCTCCTTTTCACACCTTTTGAATGCAAGAAATGCCGGATCTTCTCAAGGTATGGGATTGATTGCATGCTGAGCCGGCGACACAGATTGAGTTGTCATCGATGCAAAACGCGGCATTCTCTCAAAGCGTGTCGAAGCTCAAGGCCGTAGGTCCTCCAAATCAAGCCAAGACGTGTCGCAGTCGAAGGCTACAAGCTGCTGGGGCACGCTCACAATGCGGAGAAAATCCCAAACTATTGGGCCGCTGGGGCAATGTTTGCCGCCGAGTTGGAGACTACAACTCGGTTGTTTTCTGCTCCCCCGCTAAAAGTTTAACTTTTAGTGGTTTAATGGAAAACTCATCAGTTGGCAAAAAGCTAAAGTCCTAACAGCCAAGCAAAATGCACCAAAGACAAGCTTGTTCGGCCGGCCTTTCAAAGGATCTAGCAAGTGGGATCCGGGCGAGATATAGCGGGCGCCGTCCGTGCGGCACGTGATGCATCTTGTTATGTTCATGAGCGGCAGAACCCACTTAATAGAACCCATTAAGGTCCCAGATCTAGCACGTGGGATCAAACACACGGCGAGATGTGGCCAGTTTTCACTTTGCTGCATATTGAACGGCAAAACCCACTTGTCAGAACCCATTTTGGCAATTTGGGTCCCCTGTTTGTTTGACCAACTGCGCAAAAGTTACTAACAAATACTAAATATCGAGTATTGATCTTCAAGTCCAACTTGAGCAACTCAAACCGCATCAAGCTCTGCTTGGATCATGGCTTCCATAGCAGCCATCACCTTGAATTCTTCACAACAGCTCCGCTGGCACCATCACAAAGAAGCCCCCAATTCACTTGGCGCCAAAGATCATCCTTCTGAGACTGAGGCAACCTCAATGCTGGCCTATTCGAAACCCCTTGGGCCCTAATCAGAATCGGTAATCTGCTTAATCCTTGTTCTGGTCGCTAAACTTCTTAATCCGCAATCCGCGCTGCAGAGTGTGATTCGAAACCTTCGGCCGGTGCATTGAAAACCCATGCAACCCATAATCCGTCATCCGTAAAGCGCACAGTCAAATCCATATTGCGAATGCAAATCATGTAGCGATAGCAAGTATGCTTGCATCAGTTAGTTTGGCATTGATTGGCTGCTTTCGCGAGGTAGCGCAGGCTGCAAAGCTGGCAGGACAAAAGTAAGAAAAGTGAGACCACCTACCGCAAGAGCACAAGCTTCTGCACATATGATCTGGCATGTCCGCGTGTGGATCTGAGGACTCTGCAGTTGCGCATGGTTCTCTCTCAAAAAGCCTGGCATGCTATGAGTGGGGAACTTCACCTCGGGAAACTGGCAGCATAGCTATGGCAGCTATGGCATCGCTCGGGTGACGGGGAGGAAAAGATGCACAAGATTGCGGCGAATCAGTCAAGCAGCGCTCATCTTCTGCACCAACTTGTTGGCTTGTTTGTTGCATCAAAGGCCTACATCTCCGGTCAGCGGTGGAGCAATGTGCAACTCCCGAGCATAATCCCCTGCCAGGCTTCACTGCGCCTTCTGGCAATCAAGCTTCCACAGCTCGGGCAGGCGTTTGGAAAGCGTACCCGCGCCGCTCGGCACATCGTCGCTGAAGTCACTAGATGCCTTCGAGAATTGCAATTTCCTTGTGGGAGCGAAAGATCTACCACTTTGAGAGACCACAGGACATTGAAGGACTGCACTCGGATCCTGGCCAACTTGGCTGGGCCTATGCGGATGCCTTCCTGAGTCTCAAGTCAAGCACTTTGGTCCTAGCGCGCATACTTCATCAAGCAGCAGGTTGGCGGCTTGGAGCTTCATCTTTGCGGCTGCCATGCAGACTCAAACAATTCACACTGAACAATTGTTCGGCGTTCATTGGCTCTTGCACACGAAGCCTTGCCAGGACAGCTCTGCAAACCCACTGGTCGGGCAGGAAAGGAAACTCATTTTTCATCGAACGACGCGTAGTCTTGAAGCAGGCCATGGGCGTCACAAAGTCCCACAGGGACGTTGCCGGAGGCCAAAACGGCCCTTGGCCGATCCTCCATAGACCTCCATGAATCTAGCCATCTTCAGTGAAGTCGTTTAGGTTCCGAATGCCAAGACGCTCGGAGAGAATCTGTTGCATCAAATCCACTCATCCCATCCTTCTGCTTGGATGTGCTCGTCCACCTCGATGGTAAACATGCTGGTCAAGCTGCCATGCTTCGATTGAATCGATCCTACTTGGGCCCAACCCCAATTCAACAAAAGAAGCAACAAGCAGGCTAAGCAAACAGCCAAGTGATGTGACATAGTTGCTTTGTTTCTATTCCAACTATGCTGGCGTTGCGTGTAAACATGTGTAAACATGTGTAAACATCCATGAAGCTATTGCTCCGCGTTTACAGCAATATTGCCTTGTGCTCAGATTCCAACTGTGCAGTCCTGCTGAAAGGCACTAACCACTGCGCTTTGGCCAAAACCGACATTGGAGAAATCATGCACAGAGTTGCCAACATTTTTTGGGTTGCTGGCGAGTCCCTTCTGCGAAAAGTTGCTTACACATGTTGTGGGTCCAATCCGGAAAATCCGACCTGTTTCAACCATGCGTTGTTCAGTCCAAAGATCCGCTAGCAAATAGCGACAAAGATCACTCTGAAGTTAACTCAAGATGCTCGGATACGTCTTGGACTGTGGGCTGGCGCCACGCGAAAGATTTGCGCCGGGTGGCAGAAGGGAATGCCCTGCCTGGTGGCCCTGGTAGAAGGAAGCGCTTGGGGTTGACATGTAGAAAGTTTCCGGGGGTAACCCTCCGAAAAAATTGACAAGTGGCACACACCTACTGGAGAATTGGTCTGTCAACGTCGGATTTGCACGGGGTACCCTTTTCGACACATACAACTCATATGTTTCTCTTGAAGCATCATCACACCCACAGGGGATCTCTCTTTAAGGTTCCCCAAAGGTGATCCTTATAACCACCATAGCTACCTGAGACCTCAACCGCACAATGCGCTTGCGCACGATTCTGGCCAATCAGTACACCTCACACGGTGAAATGTGTTTTTCTCTTCCTGACCACATATAATGTCTGCTTAGACGGGACTGCCCTGGAATCTACTTGACAAAACCCGGTTGATTTGTTTTTTTTGGGGGGAAATTCCTTTTGGTTGGGTTTCAAAGGTCAATCCCCGTTTCTCTCTTGCGACCACAAAAGACGCACACAAAAACACGTACACAGAGGCGCGCCACACATGCGCCGCGAATCTTTTGCTCCAAATGGATGGGGCCAACGGCGCAGGTGCAGATGCCCTGGGCTGTCCGGAACTTGGAAATTTATCTAGGGGTTGATTCCTTTTCCGTTCTTTTCAGCCATTCTTTCAAAAGCAAAGCTGATTTCCAGTGGCGCCCTGTCCCGGGCCACCGGAAATGGCGTAAAGAAAAAACAAGTCCCTTTGTTGCTGGAACGACCCCCCCTGCAAAAAATGCATAACTTTTTGGGGGTTTTAGTGGAAAACCCAACTTGATTTCAACCAAAGAGTTAAAGTCTAAAGATCCAACCCAATAGCAGTCAAGCCTGTAATGTTGACGACTGTTACCCCCGGATTAATAAACCCCCTGGTTGATTGATAGGGGGGTGTCCCCTTTTAGCGGGGATTCATCACTTTTGGAGGGAACACCCCCCTAATAGAACTTGGTTCCAGGTCTCAACCACAGGTAGCCTTCCGAGGGGAAAAATCCATCGGCCTCCAGCTCCGGAAGCTCAACCACCGGTCAGGCGGCGCACGCGGCAGGCCGTGCCTGGAATGTGTGAGGGGGCTTTATTTGGTTGTGTTTTGGGAAATGGTTCGAAAAAACCGGGGGAAAAAACACACACACAGACATGTTTTTCTCTTTCATTGGTTCTTCGATTTCTATTGGGGCTTTAGTTCGATTGGTTCGAACCCAACCGTTCTGGTGGGCTCTAAAATGATAAACCTTCCTTTCGGAGGTCGAGCCCAAATGCCAACTTCGGAGTCCTATGGGCTGAGGATCAGAGAAGTCCTCGAAGAAACCCCAGGAAACAACTTCCCAAGAAGGACCCTCCCGCGTTTTTTTTTCTTTTTCTTGGCCATGTTGGCATCCTTGCTGTAGGTGCTTCTCAGAGGCCTCGCCGCTTACCAGAAACCCCGAAAAGGGTCAACGCTCCTCGTCCCACGCGTGCTGGGCCTCAGCAGCTTGAGGACATCATTGCCGGTGCCGCTTTTGCGGGCGCGCGCAAGACGTGCGCGAAGCATGGCAGGGCCTAAAAAGACAACAACAAAACAAACAAACTTGTCACTTCCAAGCCCTAGGATCTAAACATGTGAAGGTTACACCCGACCAACATCCATCCCAAACCATGTTTTTGCTTCGGAGCCCAAGCAAAAAGGGGTCCCAAGCTGCATTTTGCCACCTGATGCAACCTGTTGCTGCGACTCGAAATGGCTGCAGCAACTCGAAGCAAAAAGATCCCACCGGCAACAGCAGCGCTGAGCTGTTTTCATGGCCACCAGCGGAATTGGTCCAGAAAGCGGAGGTAGGACCGCCAGACCTCGCGCTTTTTTCCAGGTCAGCTGTGTTTCTTTAATCCTGCATGGTTGCACATCAACATGTCCACGCAAATGTGTATACATATTAATATATGTGTATCTTTCACGAAACACACACCCATACATATATATATATATATGTACATATATACATTAACAGCGGTGCATCTATGGCGCAGTATGTATGTCAACCCCACATGTGCTCATGACAAACAAGAACAGGGGCCTGCTGGTACATCAGCCGGCACCCAAACAGTTAAACACCCGCGAGCTCAGCGCTGGGGCCTTACAGAAATAGAACTTCCCTCGGTTGCGAAATCTGCTCCCCTGCTAAAAGTTTAACTTTAGTGGTTTAATGGGAAACCCATTAGCCGGAAAAAGTTAAAGTCCTAACATCCAAGCAAAATGAAATGCACCAAAGTTCCGGCGTCCTGCTGAAACGGCTTCCTCGTGAAAATGAGGATATGCCGATTTACCTTCTCCCACGAGCCGAGTCAAGTCCCTTTGACTTGGGCATTGGGCGTCAGGCACCTGCAGTCAGGTTCCATGCGAGAGGCTGAAGGCTGCTAGCAACCTCTGCAAAAAGGTCTGACAAGGGAGGCGAAGCCTCCAGAAATGTCATCCATCCATAGCCATTGCTTTGCGATAAAAACAAAGAACAACAACAGGTATGCGCTTGTTGCAAAGTGTGCGAGGATGCCAGGACTCACGTTGACTACCATTAAACACCGTGAAACGAAGTGACTTCAGCTTGGTGATTCTTCGTCATTTATTCAGGGCAAGTTCATAGAGCAGGTCGGGCCCGCTTGACTGTGCATAGGAAGCCAGTAATCCCATTATGTTATTTACGACGGAAAGATCAACACGTCTGTGTTAGTCTGTTGGCTTTGCCAACTGCAAATGCTTTTTGCCTCCCAACCCGCGCAATGCTAGCAACGAAAAGGTTGTTTTTGCGCTCATTCCAAATGCCTTGAACGGAGAAAACCAACACATCAGCCACGGAAGAGTTTCTCACAACCATGCGACCCCGACTGCCTCAAAACCATCCCTGGGGTGTTCTAACCTGAGCTGATTGGCAACGGCAAAGGCTTAAGTAAGAAAGACAGCTGGCTCAAGTTCAAAGCTTGGGCACCTTCCCTGTGCTTAAGTCCCCTGGAAAAACATGAGAACATCTGTCCAGTGAAGTCGAGTCCCTTTAACATTAACCAGGCGGAAATGGATAAAAGCTATGACAATTTCAGCAAGTGGCTCAGAAAACCGAGGAAGCCAGTTCCATTTGACCCGCTTGAGCCAAAAACAAAAACATGGGACGCATGGCGGCCAGGCCGGATCTGAGCGCAGCAGCGCCCCGCAGCCGATGACCACCTGAGACTCCGGGCTCTGAGGGCTTCACCCGGTGCTTTTTTTCCGTCTGGACCCACCAAATTGGCCGTTTTATGTTCCTGTCCTCCATTTGCTGAAGTCCCCTGATTGTTTTTGTTTTTTTTTGTTTTCAGCTATTTCCAGTAGTGATAGATTCCCTTTAAAGCCAACAGGGGAAAATAACAAAATATTCTTAAGCAAATGGAAGCTTGTGGTTCCTTTCAGCTCCATCCAAACAGGGGGGCAATTAGCCTCAAAACCAACAGACCCACACACATGTTGAACATCAATACGGTATGAGGCCAACAAGTAAGCACCCTTGTGTTTGCAATCAGCACGGCTTCCCCCCCAGAAACCATGCAAGTAAACTGGGTTTTTGAAAATGGCGCGGATTGCCAATCCGCAACCTGGGGGACAACCAAACAAGATGCACAACCATCTGGCAAAAGTCCCGGTATTTCCGCGGTAAACACCCCCTGCAGAGGAAACTTATTTGAAAGCGGCCCAAAAGGTGATGCTTAATGCTGAAAAAGGACATATTTGCGGTATACATATATATATATATATACTATTTCTATATATACACACATTAGTTTCCCTCTAAATGGTGATTTGGATAGGTCTGGTGGTTGGGGGCTTGGGCCATTTTCCCTCTACAAGAAACAGGGCTGCAACTCACCAAGTGGGGTTCATTGAATATATGTGCTCCCCCTTTCCAGGAATCCACGGCATCGCAAACTTGACGGCGAGAGCGCTCTCGCCCAGAGCGACCGAGGCACAAGAAAGGACTTGGCACGGGTGATGCCCACGTTCAGGCGCCGCACGTCCGTGAGGAAGCCCAAGCCTGGCGATCCCGTTGCGGGATCAAAGGCGTGCAGGTCCAAAGGTTGACGTGGGCTTGGGTCCTGCGGGGTTTGCCTGTCAAGCCATCCCCAACAGACACCCAGCACCTCCGAAAAACAAACAAAAAAGACTCAGGGTGAAAATCGACGGGGCATACTTGTCCATTTTTGTGGGATTTTGTCGAATGACATTCGCCACCTGCGATCACCCAACCTGATTCCCCCAGGTTCCATGCCAGGCTTTGGCTATGCCGAGGATACGCCCGTAGCCAGGCTTGAGGCCTCCCATATTCTCCCATTGATCCGCCAGGTTTCCTCACTTGAGCGGATTGGCCAGAAAAATGTCTGACCACTAAATGCATCTTCCCAAAAAGTTGTAAGTCCAAGAACTCAGGGAGCGAGTTTCACTAGGGCCGAGGTTCTGGGCAACTCGCTATGCTTCATAAGCGGAAAAGAGGAATCACCGAGAACGCCATCACTTTTAGCCCCGAATCGGTGAGAGCTGGTGACTCTCTATTTTAAGCCTGGAGAGGCCCATACCCCATTCAATGACCACACTGCGATATGGACTTATTCGCTACACTCCTGACATCTCCTGACAGCCTACACTCCTGACAACCCCTTAGCTCACGGAAGTCCGTGTTTCATTCAATTCAAAAGCTGGCCAGACTTACTGTACCCTCCCACCAATTAACATGGAACCTGACGGGGGGGGCTGGAAGACCATGTTCCTTGTAATGGGACCCCCTGTCAGGTTCTCAGCTGGTGAGAGGCAAGGACCCTTGCCAACTAAATGCCAGTGTCTTGCTGGCCAAACTTTCACATGAGGGAACAAGTCGGAGCTAGTAAGTAATGAAAGGGGGTGGGTCCAAAAAGGCAAGACATTTGCTTGAAATCCTTGCACCCTCCCACTCTGGAGGCCGGCCTTCCGTACGCACGCAGGAAAGGATGATGACCTCGCGGACCGACTCAGGTTGTTGACCCTGGATAAATGAACTCCCTTTCATTTCTACGGATGGACGAAATCCATTTCGCACCACTTCGAAACCATGGGAATCCATGGTTTGTTGGCATCTAATTGGGAATCAAATTATGCCAGGGTTGCTTAGGTGGTGCAGGATTTCGTCCATCCACGGTATCAACACGAGGGTGCTCCCCCACAAGTGGTTTGATTCCAACTACTAAAAGGGTGCGGATTTATTTTCGAAGAAGTGATGATTCAAGCAGGGGTGCAATGATTCAGAAAGGGTGCGATAGAATTTAAAAGGCAGCGGGAGGGTTGGCGGGGGTGGCTTCCCCCATGATGTTCGAAGAAGTGCATTCATACAGACATACATGGATTACACAGATTGCCTCAAATGTCGTATGTTGCAGCATTTTCTCGCGAAATTGGACGCTCGAAAAAGTGATGATTCAAAAATAGGGGTGCAATTCAATCTCCCCATCAAATCTGAAAAGTAGCGGGGGGAAGGCGGCAGCCCCCCCCATGATGTTTGAAGAAGTGTTGATTCAAATAGGCAATTCCTCTGCAAACAATCTAAACAGTAGCGGGTGGGTTCGGGGGGGGCTTCCCCCCCCAATGATGTTCAAAGAAGTGATGATTCAAATAGGGAGGAACTGGTGATGCTGATGATGCGGGAAGCCAAATCCAAAAACCAATGAAAGGGTGCAAAAGCCAAAAAGTCTGGAGAGGAACTGGGAAAGCAAAGGATGCGAAAAGCCAAAGCCACCAAAAGCCGCATAAAACAGCGAAAAGCTGCAAAAGCCAAGACGCCACCTGCCAAAGAGGAACTGGGAATGCAAAGGATGCGAAAAGCCCAAGCAAAAAAGCCACCAAAACGCCGCATAAACCAACAAAAAGCCGAAAAACCAAGAAACCAAGAAGCCGAAAAGCCGAGAAGCCAAGAAGCCGAAAAGCCAAGAAGCCAAGAAGCCAAAAAGCCAAGAATCCAAGAAGACAAGAAACCAAAAGCAAAAACAAAAAAACGGAAAAAAAGGCGGAAAAAAACACACAAAAAACACCTTCCCTGTAAAATTGGGACACCAGGACCCATCTCTCAAAATCAACCAGGACTTCTGCGGCTCGTCCAAGGTTCCCATTTGGGTGTGGAACGAAAAATTTGCAATTACCCGAAAATGGAACCAAGGACTAAAACCTACGGTCCCCTGATAGTTTAGTGTTGATCCGTACCCATTTTAGAATAAACGGAGGCCAACTTTATACATACACATTTGATCGATTCATTGCAAGTTTTAATTTACAACAATAAAGTGGAAATACTTTAAGGGTGTGGTGGGTAGGGGATGGTTTGGGTGCACGCTGCAAACCCCTCATCACGGTGGGCTCGTTTCCCCGAATCGGCAAGCTCGAAGGCATATTATTGTTTACATAGTACACCCTGCTTGTCGATACCTAGGGTGCCACTCTCTCTCTCTCTCTCTCTCTCTCTCTCTCTCTCTCTCTCTCTCTCTCTCTCTCTCTTTCTATCATAATTATATACATATGTGTATATATATATGTGTATATATATATATATATACAGCGTGAACGGCCAATCCGTACATATGTACATGTATATGTGTATGTAAATGTATGTGCGTATGCGCATCTTATCTTTTGTGTAACCTTATATGTAGAGAAATCACCTACCGATTTGAGAGACCCGTCCGGTTCCGCGTGCTTTTGCTGAAGCCGGCCACGGCACCTCCTTCTCACGGCCCTGGTAGCCATCCACCGTCTTCACCTCCACAAAGCGGCCCTCCCGCGGCATGGACTCCTGACAGCCCAAAAGATTCGGATCTGCGGTGTCGGAACGCGTGCAAAGGGCGAAGCACGGCGGAGCCAAAAGGACCTACCGGAAAATTGCCACTGTGGGCTGAACCCCGCAGAATGAGGCCGCCCCTTTTGGCAGAGTTTAAAGGGAACCTTGAGCAAGCGAGTGAGCAATGGAGTGCATTCTCCCATGATTAACGGAAGGGACCCCAATTAAACCCTTCGTTTGAAGAACGTGGAACTCCAACGTTTTTGAGGACCCCTTTGCCGATGTAATTGTAAGTGAAGGTCCCTCCAACCAAAAGCAAAACTCAAAGAATTGCGCCACCAGAGGTCCTGGAAAACGGCGGGGGTGGAGGGGGGGCTGGGATGGTCATAAGTTCCTGCGTGATCTTCTCGGCTTCCAGGGCGGCCTTGATTTGGGTCACCTCGGCGGTTTGCTTTTCGGCGGAGTCGTGACACCTGGGAGGGACTTACCCCTTCCTGCAACAAACCTAGGTCCAGTAGAGAGGTTAGAATAAGGGTACCAACTTTGTTATGTGGTCTATTTTAGTAGGGGAACCCTCCCCAAAGAAAGGGTAAAAGGGCACTACTGGGGGACCTAGAATCAGAAGGCACCTGAAAAAAACAAAACACACGTGGGAGGGTACCTGGATCAGAGGAACCCTGCGAGGTGCTAGGACTTAGACCCTAGCTGAAAAGGAAACCGGAACGCAGACAACATAGTCGAAAAGCTAAGCTAAGTCTGGCAACGCGTCTGGTTGCCGAAGGGACATTTGATTGAAATTGGGAAACGCAAAGGGCAACACGTGATACAAAAAACGGGAAGCGAAGCAACAAGGGCACCCCTTGCAATGTCGCCACTGAAGGAGTATAGCACAACTATACCAACGGGTATGGGTCAAAACTAAACCACCAGGAAACGGACCGCAGGTTTTAGTCCATGTTTCTACTTACCAGGGTTGGTTCCATTTGGGTTAGCCTAGTTTTGACAACCACAGCATGAGAAAACTCAAAAGCAACACCGAACGCTCCGGCCTGCGCCGTGTACGGAGAGATGACGCCAATGTCTTCCTCGCCCGCCTGGCAAAGAAGCCCAAGCGGCACTGGGACGTTTCAGCCCCACGTAGTTCCCTTTGTTTAGCAAGAAAAGCAAAGGGGCATGTCTACCAAAGTTTCTCTTCAGGATGACCACCTCCCCTTGGCAGCCTGCACTTATTTGAACTTGTTTGCAATCTATTTCACCGATGAGCTTGTCCCCTAAGGAAGCTTCCTTGGCCCGCGGGAACACAGCGATGGCGTGCTCACCTCTGCTTGTGGTAGGTTCATTTCTGTGGTCTGGTTGATGCCTCGGAGGATGCGCTTTGTCCTTTGGCACCCAGAGGTTTTGAAGTAAACCCATGATTGATTCAAGTCCTGGCTGATTGTTAGGGGTTGCCCGGCTCAGGGGATCCGAAAATCGGGGTAAACACGGCCCTAATCCACCTGGTTGCCTGATCCGGGGTGGAAGTTATGAAGTAAGAAGCTCCTGCTCTGCCTCCAGTCATGCGGGTCAGCCCCGGGGGTAAGATCGATCCGATGGGCTCATGAAGCCTGGAGGAGTCCCCTCTGATATTTTACAGGTCGACCAACAGCCCCCGCTGCAGGATCGCCACGCACAACAGGCCACGCACAGCAAGCCACCAACATGTGATTAGCAACAGCAGAGTGGGTGAAGAAAACCCAACTGCAATGAAATGGGTATGTCTCATTCTGAGGGAACCCCCTTGTGGTTTCCGAGCGAAAGCCGAAAATAAGCGACGACTCCTTTTGCTCCAGGCGAAAGAAGCGTGAATGGCGTCCCGTCTCTGATTCGAGAGGGGACTTCTCCGACTGACCTGTGATCAGCTGATGATCCGCCCAGGGAAAGTGTGCGTGAATTGTGGTGTACTTGCGTGTTATGCTCAAAAAATAGCAGTAGCAGTTGTAGCAGCAGTAGTAGCAACAACAGCAGTATAGTAGAAACGGGCAAAAGTCACATCATGGCACACCATGAGATGTGACAAGCATTGGTGTTGGACAAGGTGTCCCCGCCCCCAACTCACTTGCCCGAGGCACCTGGGAAGAAAAGGTTGTGCTTTGCGGGCCACACAAAATGGACCAAACATGGGACAACTCAGCAAACGATTGATTCGCTTGGACAAGCGAGGGTTCAAAATTGTGTTGGGCTAAGCTAAGCCACCCCATGACCGCACTAAAAACATGCATGGGGATTGTTTTGTGTTTTGCGGGGGTGCTCCGGCCCCTTGCCATACATTCATTGCTGTTGGCCTGTGCATTGTTTTGCACTGTGTTGCGTCATGATTTATGAGCCTAGATTTAAAGGGAATCGCAGAGTACGGGCCTTTCACCCTGCTACGATGAAGAAGCCAAGGCTTGAACATCTGGCACTGAATAGGCACGCCGGCTTTGGGCAAGATGTCCCCCAGGTTCAAGGAATGTACAGCCGTATAAAGCGAAGCCGCTTTCGCACCGATGGATCTGGAGAATGAAGGTTGACAGCTTTGGGCCTCATGACCATAGGTGGCCTTTTGGAAAAATAGATGGGTTTCCCTGGTAAATGGGGAATAACCCCCATGAAAACCAGGAATCGCCCTCTATTTTTTGTAAGCAAACCAACCAAAAAGGACACCTGTGGTCGTGACTCATCATGACTCATCATGATTCATCATGACTCATCATGACTCATCATGACTCATCATTGCCTACCAGGAAAACGCCAAAAGGTTGATTCGATTTGGGCGACTGAGACGTGCCAAGCATCTATTGACAGTAAAGCTTCAAGTTTGGCCAACTGGGAGAACCGGCACGTGAGCCTACCGCTCCGCATTTGGGGAGGCACGGGCCTGGGGGTTGTGACCGTCTGGGGGGTACGACTGGGTGAGGTACAATCATTTTTGAGGGACCAACCTTTTTTCATGGGGGGGGGGGCATAAAACCTCCTTTAAACATGACCAACTTTTTGAGGGACCAGCCTTTTTTCATGAGGATTTGGGGTGGCATAAAACCTCCTTTAGACATGACCAACTTTTTGAGGGACCAACTTTTTCGGGGATGCAATAGACATGAGCGTACGAGAGTCTTGTTTCGAATTACTTGGGCCCTCATATTAGTCACCTTACCCTTACACTTTCTCCCACTGAGACACCTGGAGCACAGGCACACAGCGTGCTACAACTGATGTTGACGCCTGAGCGATCTGGCCCCCATTTAATAAACAAATCCCCACGAAAATTGGACCATTAATAACACGCCATTAGGATCCATCAGGGATTTCTTATCAGAGAATTATGGGGCGCATCATTCAGAAATGCAGTGTAAGTGGGGCGCGGTTGTGAATCAGGGGTCACCAGCTAGGATAGTCATGCTTGTAATCATTTAGCCCCTGATTTAGCCCCTTATGTTTGGCCCCATGAACAGGTACTGTTGGAGCGTGTTTTTTTGGCGGGGACGGTTCCCTTTGGTTTCCCTTCAAACCAATCCTGAAAATGGCACCATCAAAAGAAGAGTATCCTACCAAGCCCCCTTCCTATTCACCACAGCCTTCGGATCTACCTGGCTCAGCTCCTGAAGATGTCCACCTTATCCAAGGGGCCCAGCTCCTCACAACCGACCGGTCGGTCGGCACATCGGACCCAAAATAGACCCAAGTCCTTGAACATGAAACAGGTCACTTGTTACGGATTTCGTCGTTGGTTCCAATTGCCAATGCGATTTTGGTACATCTCAGTTGCCCAAAGGACCTGGAAATAAAAGGTTAACCTTTTGGGGCCATGACTTAAAATGGACCAAATCACCGAAACCAAAAGGTCAAAAGGTCGGCTTTTTGGGCAAGTGAGACATGTCTTTGAGCCACCTTGTGGGTTGCAACCTGTCGACCCTGTCCCCTTGTTGCTGTTCACACCATGCAACAAATAACAATATGGTGGGTCTAATGGAAAATTCGACCTGCGTCAAACAAAAGTTAAAGTTCAAAGTCCAACCAAATAGCCATAAAGTTTGATTCTTGCGGTTTGGATTGGTGGTTTGGTTGGGCATTTGAACCACTGGTTCTTCTAGAGGGTCAATGGGAAACCGCCCCCCAACACCCCCAAATCAATCCCAACCAGAAATTAGAGGGAAGCTGCGAAACGTGGCCGGACTAAACATCACAATCAAAACGTCGATTCGCTTTGGGCAACTGAATGTGTCGCCGTATCTTGCCTCTGACATGGAACCCAACCGGGGAGAAAAAAAAACTGGGGAAAAATACAAACAAATAAATTGGGGGAAGCTCCAAGACCCCATGCCCAGGGGCCCTTGTAGTAAAACATATTTTGGTTGGGCTTGGGTACATGTTAAGCGGATCTGCATTTTGGGCAAGATCAACTTCTATTTCTTCAGCTGGTATGTGTGGGGGCCTCTTCCCCATGCTTGACCATCCGGACCCTTTTCTGCAATGCCAAAGTTGTGGATTCGCATGGCTACCCCCGCAGGTTTCCCCTAACCCAAGGTTTGACCCATCGAAATCCACCCCACAAGGGAAAAGGCTTTGTCCCAAAATTGGCGAGCGCAGGTAATTTGTGTTGTTCCGTAACGGCTTCCCGTAGGCAGCAACGCCACGGCAAGAATCGACACCAAGCCCACGGGAAAAGCCGTGTTTTCATATGACCCACCCTCCAGTCCCAGAACGAGGCCCAGAACAAGGCCTTAACTGGCTAGTTTTTTCAGCTGAGCAATGAACCCCATGCACCATCGCCAGTTCTTCTTCAGGGGATCCCCAAACTTGATTCCGAACGCCAAGGAAGTTCCGCAAGGTTGACTCCGGATTAAACCCGTCCTATTCATATAAGAATTGATCCTCACAAGGGGACACTGGACCCCAATCAAACTCAACCAGCGGCTCTGCCTCCGGGGTTCACTTTACAAACTTGGAAGTCTTCCGGCCTTACCCTCCCCCCCTCCCCCTCTCCCCCCAGGCCCCCCCAGGCACAAAGGTCAAGGGTTTCGGGCACCATGTGTGTTTTGGCCAAAAGCTTCTGACCGAAAAGTTGTCCTTCGAATGTTTTGTTTTTTTTTGCGCCTGGAAAAACAAGACCATATGTCCAGTAGTGAAATCGACTCCAAATTCAAAGCCAACAACAAAAACAAACAACACATACTTAAGAACAATAAGGGGGGAAGAAACAACGAGAAGCAACAAACACACATTGACTTGTTCTCAATCCAGCACCCAACCCCATGGTTTTCTCAAAAATACCCCATGCCGCCAAATGAGCGTTGTTTTCCGCTCGGGTTCCCCGAAACCAAACTTCAAAGTCCTTGAGCCAGTTCGTTGGCCAGGTGCTGCGCCCCGACAGGCCCAGCCTCAAAGGCACTTCCGGGTCACTTGTGAGACCCGGAAGCCAAAGGTTTTCTCAGCCTTTCCTTCCGGGGGGGTTGGGGGGGTTGGAGGGGGGTGGGGGGTTGGGGGGGTTGGGGAATTTGGTTCAGCCCCCAAAAGCAAAAAATATTTAGCATGGAGTGGCATAAAATCCCCTTAAATGACAAAAAAAGGGAGAAACAAAACATGCTCTTGAGCAAATGGAAGCTTCAGCTTCCCAAGGAAGACCGTTCCCGTTTTGCCTCCACTTGCGGCCCCAGACTTGGGAGTCCTTGCCATTGGCTTGGGGGATGTTGACCCCGGATTCCTCAACCCCAGTCTATTCATAGTCTCGTTTTTCAACATAGCCCCCCCCCCCCAAAAAAAAAAGAAGAGAAAGAGGAAGGAACAAATGTCGGTGTCCTGTTGGTTTCCCTTTCAGCCACAAACCAACCCCAAAGAAGGGTTGGTGGGGTCAGGCATTTCCCATCCCTCTAGAACACAACAATCAAGCCCCCAAACCACCAATTTAACCCACTAATTGCGGGGAACCTGATTTCGGGACCTCCACTTAACATTGGGATTTGAAAGGCCAGGTTTGAACAAGTGAGTGGCAAGGCAAAACATGTTATCCGCATGGTTAGGGCCTGCCAGGGTATGTTCAGGTAATTATGGGTTTTGGGGTGCGGGTGGCTTCCACATC